TATGACCTGCGACTGCGTAGACCCATTTAAATTTTATTTTCAAGAAGTAATAAAACATTAAATAAAATGTTTGTATTTCTCGGTAATTTCTGGACCTTTTTGTTGAAAAATTTATAAAATTATTGCCAGGTTATTGAAGGATATTCAAAATATCAAAAGAAGAATTGTTATATCACTTTGATACCTATAAAAACCAACTTTAAAAAACCAGTAATTTTTTCTAGCCTCGCTTCTTACTAGCACAAAAAATTTTGCCTTTTTGCTGGATATTAAATCTAAATAACATTCATAAAACTGCAGTAAATTATCTCAGTTCATTTAATTGTGCAGAAATATATTAAAATAAGAAATGTTAAAAATTACTTTGAAGTGGCACTGCCATAAGAATCTAAATTTCTAAGTTTTAGTATAAATTTTAGTGTGTTCTTAGTTTCAGCTTCGTGCAGTATTTTTGAACCACACATTGAACCATCCAGTTCAAATTCAAAACAAATACAGAATGAGCAACAAAAAAAGCAACAAGAAAAATATAGTGATGACTTTCAAGCGCTTAAGAATAATACAGAACAGGTTTGCTTTAATATTTGTTTTTTTATTGAAGTTTTTACTTTGCAAAATCTCTGCCAGAAATTTGATGAAAAGTCACAAAAACAATTTCTGCCCTTGCAGTTTTTCTATACAGTTCTTTTTTGGGTGTATAGTAAGTAAACCAGTGCTTAATTTTGCATTTTTATTGTACGGTACTAAATAAATGAATCAGTTATTTGCAGGCACGTCTTTGTAGATATTTTTCTGGGCATATGTTATAAAGTTCTTTTTTTCTTGTTATTCAGGGTAACGTGAGTTCGTCTCAGCACTCTTCTACTACTTCAAACCAAAAAACGGAGGATTCAAGTAAGCCCTTGCTAAATGTCAAGAATGCGAATAAAGAGGCAAGTCTTGTATTACCCGATGCAACCCTTCGTGTAATACCTCATGTTAAAACAATGGAACAATGTCATTCTTTAAATATTCTTTCGATACGTGAAGCCTATTGTCAACGCAGATTCCACTTGATTGCATATCGTGCAAGAGTACAGGTTATAAATCTAACTAGAAGCTCTCCTTTCATCATTTACGTTTACATGTTCTACGTATTCTTCATGCTAATATATTGCTAATTGCATTCATGCAAAAAAGATACATAAAAACTATTTGTTCTAGAAACAGTTGAATTAGGGTGAAAAACTTTTAGACAAAAAAAATATTCTGCTTTCAAAATTTTATTTTCATCTGTCATTTTTGCACAAATTTTATTTTTAACACAAAGTTTCATGTTTAAGGTAATGCTATGTATTTATTTATAATAAGTCGAAACACTTTTATGAGATATGTTTATCAACCTTTTCGTTCCTCAGCTATGCATTTATTTTTTTCTGATAAATTAAGAGCCTTTTTTTGTATGTTGCAGTAAAGAATTTGAAAAATTTGTAATTTGATTAAAATTCGTTTTCATTTAGCCGGTAATGTGCAAATTACTTGCTGGTTTACAATTCATTGGACAGAACTGGACAGCGTCCTTGCGTATATCTGATGAATCCTGGGAGTCACTTGATTGCTTAATCGATAACACAGCTATACATGATCTTATTGGCTTCACGCCACAAGATGCTCAGGTTTAGCAGATTTTTTGATACGAGATTTTATGTGGTTGAGACAGTAAAATTATTGGCATGCAAAGTAGACAAAAATAAATTTGCTTACATTTATTTAAAAAAAAATTATTCCGATGAGACTAAGTTAATTTTGTGATAAAAAAAGTATTTATTTTCGCTTTTGATATTATTTGAGTCATTTTTCGTTATTCTGTACAGAGTTTAGAGAGTTAAAGACTGAAGACAGTATGATGCTTCATCTTGGAAATGGTAGATAAAAATGATTATAACGCTGATATTTCTGATGGGAGTTAGCTTTTTATGTATTTGAAATAAATAGCATAAAATTTAAATACTTGAAAAATTTTGAAAGAACTTAATGAAACGAGAAAATAGAAAAATGAGAACATTAACTGTAAAGCTATTACTTTTAGCATACATTAATTAATTATCTTTGGAAAAAAGTTTATTACGAGGTGCAAGAATAACTATATTTGCAACTCGTTTGATTAATAGTAACAGCAGTTGCAAAACAGCTATCCACTGTCTAGTGCTATCACGTTTTCTACGCTATTGTAACATGTCTTCTATGAATTACTATACTAGTTTAAGACCGTGAGCTTCTATTTTCATTTTTTTCAGATTTATGAAAAGTGTGACATTCATGTCTGGCAAATAAAAATTATTATCTAACTTGTAGGAACCCTGGCAAAATATTCTTTCGTTTATTTTAAAGAGATAAATCTACTTTTATTTTATATCTTATCAAAGTGACATAACTAATAGTTCTTAGAGCTTCTTAACTAAGCTTATGGCATTTTAATGGAAGTCAAAGTCTGTAACAGTTTAACTTCTTCCTCTTGCATGGATCATGACCAGGTTACAATATTCTTTGGAGAGAAGCAATATTCTTTGCTGGGTACAAAACACAGTCTATATAAAGTGAGGACAGAGACATAAAATAAACGACATGTGCTATAATTACCTGCAGTTGAAACTGCTCCAAACTTTTGCATGTGTTTCACGAGGGAAACACATTCAAAAATCATTTTTTGTCAATTTAAAAGAAAATATCTCACATATGAAGTAATTATGACCGCTAAACTTTACTTAGCATTTCCGTTTCGCTTTACTTTTATTAGCAAAGGTAAAAATGATCGGGAGAGATTTGTCTAAAGAGCTACATGTTCGGTTTTATTGGTATATGTGGGAATAGTGGATTTTAAACTGAAGGATATGCTGGAAATATTATGCGCTTTTTCTTCCTTTATCTTTTGTAACTAGTACTAGTCAGCAATGTGTATTTTAGTATCAAAGCATACGATTGATCAGTTTATGATCATTATAATGTGTGATTCAGAAGTTTAATCAATTAATGGTATAAAGTAGATCTTAAATCTTTAGTTAGAAGTAATACTTATGATATGATTAATAAACAGTAAAGTTATCTTGCTTGTAAACAGCTGATGCTAAATTAAACTTATTTTACTCATTTTATTTTCATATTTATTTGTTCGTCTGCCTTTTTAAAAGATGAATTTTATAGCAAGCCATGACATCAAATGATCTCGTTCGCATTACATATTATAAGAGGCGTGCTCAGGCGATGATTGAAACATTCAACCGATTAGATTTGGTGTTAACGGTGGAATTCTCATCCTCGCCAAATGTTATTCCTCTCATCGTTAATATTACTAATCTTGCAGCGGCGCTTACTTTATGCTAATTTTTCTTTTTGTTTGTTGTTGTTGTTGTTTTTTTGGAATAGAAAATATATTCATTGTTACCTTAAAATATTTTATTATTATTAAATCTCTTACTTTATATGTTTATTTATTACTAACATTGATTATCATTACTGTTACCAATAATATCGTTATTATCACTATTGCTATCTTTATTCTCATAATTTTTCTGCAATATTTTTATTTTATACTATCATTCATTTTTCCATCATTTGACCTTTTACATTTTAACAGTTCCGTTTGTTTCTAAAAAAAAGTTTTTATTTTTTGTAAATTTTCCTCGATCATGCAATTTATTAAATACTTTTTCCGTAGTTTTAGCCCAACTAAATTTTTTACAGCATATTTTGTTGTTCTAAAACTTACTGTTGATCTATTTTCGTTTCAAGTTTTTGAAACTCTTCTAACAGACTTAACTTCACACGTCATTAATTCCAAGCAATTGCATGAACATACTGTTGCATCTACGCAAGATACGAGCAAACATTTACGTTTAATGGAGTAAAAGTTTAGCACTTCAGCTTCATTGTGTCAACAAAAATAACCATATTTATAGTTATATCTATCTCTAAAATTCCTCGTAATGTTGTTGAGCGCCAATTTTTTGCCAGACATTTTATGTTAATTTCTGTTATACAATTAATTTATTGTCAGATTATTTATGAAGCAGTCTAGTTTTATCGACTAATAATATAGTTTTTGCATTTACGAAGCAATACATTCTTATCTTACTGTTTTTTCGTTTTTGTCGTAATCCTTACTTTTGGTTTGTTTTCAGTAATTTTAAGTAGTGAAGAAAGAATAACATAAATTCTAAATTTTAAATTCTATATTAAACATCATTAGTATAAAATGGGGAGCTGAACAAGAAGTCTTTCTGAACTACTACACAAATGCAACATACAGTCTAGGTGCCTCATCTTTTTCAAATTTATATAATTCATAATTTTAGATTGCAGTATACAATTTACTGCAAAGTATCGACGCAGATAAAATGTTGCATTAATGTAATCAGCTGTTTGACTGCTTGCTCTTCATTGCCATATTTAGAATTTTCTACCATTAATGAAACGAAAATATTCATAGAAATCTCAGCAAATATTAAACTATTAATTTTCAGCTAACTGCTAATTCTAATGGAAAGTAAATTTTTAATGTTGGGAATAAAATCAAATGTTACAAACTCGTTTCGATGAATTAAGTTAGAAAAGATTGTGTAATTTGAACAATTGAATTATTCTATTAGTACCGATATTTAGACTTTTCAATTAATCATTACTTTAAAATCAGTCTGAACATTATGAAAAAATTTGCAGACAATAAAAATTAGTAAAACATTGGTATACACTTTCGCAGCTCTGAGAAATTTAGCTTACAAAGGTCAGATAAATTTCATTTAAGGTAAAAATAAGCAATAATTTTGGTTTTTATGGACATGACATTTTTTTACAGAAATGGTTCCGAAACTGTTACAAAATGGTACTCTTCTTCAATGCTTTCTCATAAAACAAATAGAATTAGCAGTAATTTTATTAGAAATAAAACATATGCCCTTTTATTTTTGCTTTTCTGATACACTTGAAAAAAGAAACAGAAAAAATGAGATTCAGAATCAGAAAAGATTCAGATGTTGTGAAGTTAAAGCAACAGGATACAAAAACCGCTTACTGAGGACAAGTAGTATCAAAATTGTTTTTATCTTTTTTGCTTGTAAAAAGAATCGTTTTTGTCTAAAGCATTGAATAGTAAATGAAGTTTTTACTCATAACATTCTTACTTTTTGTTATCATTATTCTTATTTGCATATCATCAGTAGAACTGAGAGTAATGAGATTTCTGGGTCTTAATTTGCATATTATAATAGTATTCTCTAAATTACAGATACAACAAAGACAGACATAAGTAAACTTTCTGACACTAATTTGCATAAAATCTCAAGTTTCTAAAACTGAAATTTTTGCCATAAATAGCCAATTTTTTTTTGTTAATGCATTAATCTAATTTGGTGCATAAATAAATTATCATTTTAATTTATATTTAAAAAATTATATGTGAAATTTGTACTAAAATACAAAATATTTAGCAAGACATAAAAATCATTTCAAACAATTTAAGTTAATTTTTTTTGAATATTTAATTTTTTAAATTCATTTTTTTCTGCAATATATATTTTTTATTCTGTACGCAACCATAAGCATTAGCTTTTATTTGTAAAAAATTAGCACCATAAAAACCCGAAAAGTTTTAATAAATGCAATATTTTTATTAGCATTTTAACTGCATTTTTAAAATCAACCTATAACCTCAATAACTGACATAGCAAAAATATAAATGCTTGAATCTTTATAGTTCTAGCAAGCACTCAGTTAATTCCACTTTGATGATATACAATTTCCTTTATAAACTTTTTAATATAAAGTGAATTTAGTTAAATGTTTGATCACAAATCCGAAATATTTTATACTTCAAAAAACTTTACTTGTTGTATTTTAAAAAGTTCGTGCTTTGGAAGTTTAACATATGAAAAAAGTTTTTACTTTCTGACAGTATAAAAAAATCAAAATTAAGTGTGGTCAGCCGATGGTCAGTTGATGGTCATTTGAAATCAGTTAATTGAAGCACAAATTTCCGTTATGAATACTTTTACATTTTGGACTGCGCATATTTATTAAAATATGCTCAGCAATTGACTCTTTAAACAATCTTTTCAATATAAAGTCATTTTATGATTGATTTGCATGCATTTATTTATCTTTGGCTAGTGTTTATTCGTGGTATTTCAATGATTTAGAATGGAAATCAATAAAACTTGTTTATATTTATACTTATTTTAGTATAATTAATATTAAAATCTTAACTCTAAGCAATAAAATGGCTTCAAAAATTTTATAAACGTGATGAAAGACTATAATTAACAATTTTTTTATTATTCCATACCAATTCAAATCTTTAGAGTAAAATTCAAAATCACTTAATAACTGTTATCAGTAAACAGCTCAAATTAATCTCAAAAGCTGTGCGTCAGCACTGATGGAAATCACTAAATTATATTCAATTCCAAATTTAAATTACAAAGTAGATAAATTTTCATGGCATGTCAAAGTTCAAATTCTAAATAAAATTTTAAACTAGTCAATTTCATAAACTTTATAGTACTTAAATTTAATATAAAAATAAATGAAATGAATAAATTGACGTTGAAAACTCGTGTTAATATTGCATGCCGAAAACAGTAAAACTGGCATAATTGAAATAATATTGTTAGAAAGTATTAAAAATTATTTTATCACATGGAAATTAGATATTCTAATTAGAACTAATTAAGGAAGGAAGAAAAAAATTGCCTATTAAAATGGTACGAATTACGATCAGTAATTTGCAATGTGTATTTTTCTTCTTATGCATTGCTCAAGGTATGATTAATAACAATTTACAGAGCAAAAAAATATTCTGTTTATCAGTTTATTATCATGTGAAAAATAAACTTTGTCAGCAAAATAAAACTTGGCAAAGATTTCTCAAAAAAGAAGCGCATAAAATTGACTAAGGAACTTTAAAGGAATAAAATATATCTTAAAGCAAGTTTAATTTGACGCATTTATTCAGTCTAAGTGCTAATTTATTCAGTCTAAGCACTTGAACGTTTATATAATTTGCTTTCATAGCTTTACAATAAACTGTTTTTATATGAATTTGTTGTAATGAATTTATCTAAGTTTATTAAGTACTTACAATGAATAAAAAATGCCAAAAACAAATTAGAATTAGTTTTTCAAACTTTTGTACAATTGAAAAATTGATGCTTATAAATTTATAAAATAAGTTTTAAAATTCAAATTAAAAGTTTATTCGATGCCATAAAATAAATAAATGTTGTTAAGCTAAGTTTCAAAGTTATTGCAATTTTCTTCTTATTAAAAAATTAATAAGTTGTTTTTTATTTATTAATTTTTATCATACAAAATAAATCATTTACATAGAGCTTATACTTTAATGATTATTTTTGTCAGCTATCATTAATTGCTTAATAAAGTTAACTTTACTGATTTGTACAAATCAATAAATTTCAAGAATATTAAGTAAATCTAATATGAAACTAAAAATTATCATTTCTAGTAATAATTTTAGTTCTTAAAAGTATTTTAGCTATTAAAATATTGACTTTTAGTCTGGAGCGCATTACATTTTCGGCGAAAAGTAAAATCCGCGGGTGTTGCTTTCAAGAAGGTAAGCTTACATAAAATTATAAAGTTAGCTTAAAAAACAATCTTATTCACTGTAGCATTTTTTGATTTTTATTGAAGTTTTGTTTTTATTTTTGAGATACAATTTTCAAACTAACTATGAATTTATAAAATTTTTACATAATTTTTTTAAAAATATTGAATATAATTTGAATTAGAATTAATTGTAACTTATTTGATTAACTGCAATTATATTAATTCGAATTACTAAAAGTGAGGCCATTAAACTGAATATATTAGCATATATCATTTAAAGCATTTCAAAATTATTATCTGTCAAATGATTACTTCAAATATGCAAATTTATCAATAAATTCAATTAATTTTTAATTTAAATTATTGAATTAATAACATTAATTTTAGGGAGTACCATTATTCCGCAATCAATCAATACAAGACGATAATTCAACACTTGGATATCAAATTGATATTTTAATGGTAGCTGATTATTCAATTTATAAAAATTTTCTCAGAATTGTTCGTGGCGATGAATATTCTGCGCTTTCAGCCACAAATGATTATTTGTATGCAATTTTTGAACAGGTCTGAAAATTTTAATATTTACAAAATTTGATAATAACAAAGTTAACAAAATTATTAAATTTCATAAAAAATGCATTTTATTTGCAAAGTTATGCAAATTTTGAAGTAATCTTTAAATATATAGTTAAATAATTTTGATTTGTTGAATTCAATTTACTCAATTATTAATTATTTGTTAAAAAAAGGAGACGTATTATAGGTTCGTTCAATTTACGATGGAAATCGCTTGTTCGAAAATGTGCCTGTGACCCTAAATTTGGCATCAACAATGACAATTATCCGTGAAGAAGACTGTCCACTCTTGTCATATCTCAATCAATCCATTTTAGATAATTTAGACAATGGAACACAGTAATTTTCTTGTTTGCCTTCTGTAACGGATTATAAAGTACTCAGATTAGATTCAAACTTTATATGAAAAAAAAGTAGAAAAAAAAGTTAGTTTGCACAAGTCAATAGCATTTATAGATAAATTTGAATGATTAAAATGTGTTGTACTCAAAATTGAAAAGTAATAAAAAATCAAATTGAATAAATAATTTCAATTCTGTGAGGTCTACAAAATTTTTTCTCAAAAAAATTTTACATTGTAAGAATTCATATTTGAAACTATCACGTAAGTTGAATTAATCCCGAAACTTTCACGTAAGCTGAATTAATTTTGAGAATTTCATGTTAAATGTATTTCAATACAGTTCATTATATTTAAGAATGAACGCATTAGATGCTGTAAATTACGTCCAAAAATGGGTAGCAGAATATTCACAATGGATTCCTGCGCATAATCATATCATTTTATTGACAAAGTAAGTATTTTTTAAATCTTTCAAAAAATCTTTACATGAAATTTAACAAAATGTTT